AATTCTGGAAGGCAAAGTTCCAGGTCAAAGCCTAAAGGCAAGAAGATTCGCTGCTTTAAGTGCAAGGAACAGGGACATATGAAGAGAGATTGTCCAATGCTCAAGAAGAAGACTCGTGATGTATCTTCCAGGGCTGTGGATATGGTGCAGAGCGACATTACAGATTACAGTGATGGTGATGCGCTTTCAGTTACAACAACTCAGTTAAAGGATGGATGAATTCTTGATTCAAGATGTTCTTATCACATAACATTTAATAGGGAGTGGTTTACTTCATATAGTTTATCTGATTCTGGTTCAATCTATTTGGGTGATAATAGACGATGCAATATGCTGGTATTGGTAAAGTCAGAATTAAGATGTATGATGATACTGTTAGAACATTATGTGATGTCAGACATGTTCCAGAGTTGAAGAAGAATTTGATTTCCTTGGGCACTCTACACATAAATGGTTTCATTCCTAAGGCAGATGAGGATAGGGAAACCATCGGAATTGTGAAGGGTGCACTGACTGTGATGAAAGGGAATATCACTGTAGGTAACATCTATAAACTGATAGGGAGTACAGTTGCAGGTGGAGATTGCTCTGTTGAGTCATATGGTGAAAATGCAACAGGAACTTTGACCAAGCCAGGTTAGATGGTTTGGTTGCCCAACCCACTTTGGTATAAAGAAACTCCATGAGATATTTCTCCTAAGAGGCTGAATATTCACTAATGTGGAGATTTGTTTGGTAGCCACATATACCGGGTGATGCATATCTCCTAAAGTGTTGGATATTCGCCAAGGTGGAGAATTGTTAGATATGGCTCATATCTAGGGAGTTGGAGTTTCTTGGTGAAGAGGTGTGTCTCCTGGTGAAAAGGAGTGTCTCTTGAAAATAAAGGGGGTTGGGGGGAGCGAGGGCGTGATTGTAATTATCTGTGGGTTTTATCTATAAATAGATGTGTAACCCTATGGGTATGTAACTTCTCTGAGATAGTGAAACCACCGCTCGCTCCCGAGGACGTAGGCAATTCTTTACCGAACCTCGTTAAATCTCTGTGTTCGTCTGATTTTGTGTCGATTCCTGTTTTTATTCCGCTAATTTTCACAGCACTTGCATTATATACTTGAAAAAAGGTGTCGATTTCTTGAAAATAAATAGTATAACACTATAAAACACGAAACCTTCATCCAAAATAAACTTATATTCTTCAAAGCAAGTAAATTTAAAGAGGAAGAATCATTCAAGAAGAGATATAAGATTAACATTACTTTTGAGGCTCCATAGTTTGTTAATAAATTGAAGTAAGTTAAAGTAGAATGGCCTCTTGCTAGCACTATACCCAACCAAGGCCAAGTTTCATTGCTTAGAGCCTTCTCTGAGTTCATCATCAAAAAACAAAAAAAATTACTGATTAAAGATTAAAAGAGGGGTTGAAGTTAAGGGGGTTTGTTAAGTTAAGGCCTTTTTTTGTGTATAGTCTGTAGATGGTCGATGATAGAACTCAAGTTAGAGGTAGAGAAGGGTGAAAAAGCATATGGATCCATTATAGTAGAGAATGAGGCCTCTTGACCACACCAAAAAGGAGAAGAATAACTAATCAAGCTGGCTCGGGTTGAGTGAGGAAGGAGAAATGTGGGTTGTTGAGAAGGCTGAATAAAACCTTAATAGAGACGCTTTAAACGTAAACTCAATCTAAATTACATCTCTTATATACCACATGATGATATGAACATAACTTAAATATGGAATGTGAGTTTTGATTTAACAATTTGACTATTTTCATATTTAATGCATGATCTGTTTGGTAGTTTAATACTACTTGATTCTAATTTTTTTACAACAAAATAATTTTATTATCTTTGATGTTATTGGTGTAGAAAAGTCCAACTCCATAAACGTTGAAATAGGCTTCAAAATAATTTATCTAGATAATATATTTATTCCCTATTAATTTTTTAAAGAAAGTCATGATGTATTCCTTTAGATTATGCTATAACTTATACATCACAATTTAATATCAAATAGCTACAAACTTAATATAAAAAGTAACATAATATATTATTACATAATATGAATATTTTGGAACAACAATAGATTTAAGAGGAGAAATGTGGGGATAATATTCCAAAAATCTTCAATATACCTTTATATATAATAGATATATATTCCAAAAACCTCACTGTCGCACTGTCATAATATATTACAAAATAATAATAATAATAATAATAATAATAATAATAATAATAATAAAAGATCAAGCATTATATCTATTCATATCATTTTATTCTTTTCTGCTGGTTGCTTTTATTAATTGCTCTCCAGCTTTCATAAAAAAATAAACTAATTCATATAAAAAAATACAAAATTTAAAATAATAAAAAAAAAAAAAAAAAAAAAAAAAAAGTAAACTAGCTGCGGTAGAGTTGTGATTCTATAAAGAACAAGAAGGGCCCATTAAGAAACTTTTTTGGGGACAAAATTTAGGATTAGTTGATATGATGTAGATATTATGGGCCAGTTGACGGAATTTGAGGCTGATAGAAATTTGGGACCCGTGCCATTTTAAGTTTATGTGGTGCATTTCTTGATGTGGCCCATGTTAGGTTGGCATAACGCAAGTGGTGGTTTAGCATGTTTGCTTGCTTGTGTTAGAGGCATTTATTAAATCCATCCAATTTATTTATTTATTTTTTTTTTGCAAATGAAATTTTTTTTTTTTATTATTATTATTTTCATATATTTTTATTAATGATTTACTAGTCATTGGCTTAGTTATGAATTTTCTTTTGCCTAAGATAAGTTATAGATTTAAATTCGTTGAAATTACAAGAAAATCTTTTACTTAACATTAGTTATTTATTTTATTAATCAATAGGTATAAAATTTGTTTTTTTTGGTATAAATTTATTTTTTTTTCAAAAGATTAAATATATATATATATATATATATATATATATATATATATTCAATTTTTAGTGCAAAGAATGAGAAATGATAAAAAGAATCGACATTGATTATCTAATATAATGTTTGGGGAGCTAGGCCAAAAACTTCAAAATATCATTATGAAAAATTGTAAATAGAATCCTCATTCTTCATATGGGAGAAAAAGTAAAGCTAAGAATAAAAACTATATTCATAAGAAGAGTTCTAAATCAATGATCTCAAGCGATTAGCAATCATTATTAGTGGTCATTGTAGCCCAACAATTAGTTGTTATTATTTAAATATTATCGTTAAGCTGTTGTTCTCATATTATAATCTACATATTATTGTTGTCCAATTATTTCTATTAAATAGATGTTGTTATTTGACAGTCCCTATTATAATAACTGAAGGATAAACGAGCATTATAATCTTATCTTCAATAGTTGGTAATAAGACTAAAATTCTATAACTTCAATCAAGTGCAGAACTAAGTTATGCCCAAAATGGGCAATTGCTTTGAAATTTGAGATTTCTCTATCTATGAAGTAAAATTTAATAATTTTTTTAAAAATAATTTAAGTAATTTGATAATTTTTCCCCCATCAATATATTATATTTGTGTAGCACTTAAAAAACATACAAATTTGGTGATTTGTGTGCCCTAGAAAAATAAAGTTAGTTCTACTCTTGAAGTCTCTAATTATATAATGAACTATTCTAACTAGATTAGATCTAATGATTTTTTCTTCTTCTCGAATTTTTCACACAAAAAAAACTATCTCTTACCATTTCTATTTGTTTGTTTGTTGATTACTTTTGGGCTAAATCTTAAACTTTTTGCTTACGTTGAAAATTTGAAAGAAAAAAGTTAGTTTTTCATCATCTCATAAATCATACCATTCTTGTATATAACATGCACAACATGTTACAATAATAGACTTTAAGAACATGATAAATATAATATTTTTAGAATATTGAAAGTAAGAAAATGATGTTGAAAAAAAAAATAATATTGGTTTTAGGACATCTGTCACATCGATAATCACTAACCCAGTTAGCAAGCTGACCATTGTAAATAACTGATAAGCTAGGTGGAGTGACTATTATAATTTTTATATTTTTTTAGAAAAATCAGACCACAACCAGAAAGCTTCCACCGCGCCAAAAGAGGTGCGGTGTTAAAAAGTTATTTTCAGCGTTTTGAAACCACGTAAGTTGTCAAAACACAGTTCACCCAAACAGGTCTTGTGCGTTTTCAAAACATCACCACACCGAATAAGCTGCCCCAAACAGAAAAAACAAAACAAGGGAGTCTATTCAAGTGTCTTGAAAGCACAGCTAACACTACTTCAAAAGCATTTTCAAGCGTTTTTCATAAAATACCTCTGTTTAAACGAGATTCATGACAAATTCTTTAGAATATCAAATGACATAAACACATTTTATAAACAAACTGTTAATAAAATAACAAGGGAAAATGAATAACAATTACATGTTTACTTTAAATTAACAAATGAAAGTTTAAGATGTTTAATAAAAAAAATAAATTAAAAAAAAAGCATTGAATACATTCTATATGTCGAAATCCAAAACAAAACGCGGCAATACAACAAGGCCTCGGTCAAAAGCATTACCAAACAGCATTCACAGCAAAAAAACCAAAAGAATTTACAAAGCAAACTTACCATTATTCTTTCCGCGCAAAAAACGCTGAATTTCAACACAGACATTTATTCAACAATTTTGTTATTGCTTCAATCCCATAGGATCTGCACTTAAATCGAAGAGTAACTTCTCATAGTTTAGACTTGTCTTCCAGAAACTCAAGTTTAAGATACTTCACCCAGATACAAGACATTTGATGAATATATAAGGTATTTCTCTACATCTCTAAGATATTTCCATATACTTCTCTGTAAAATATCTTATATGAGGGTGAAATACCGTTATAATTGTCTGAAATATCTCATATCTATAAAAACCTGGATTTGCAGAAGACAAGTGTCAGATGCAAATTATGAAAAGTTGAGTAGGGGACAAATTTAAATGAGGATCATCTATTTGAGAAGAGAAGCAATAAGCAATTTTTTTTTTTTTTCCTTTCATTAGATACAAATGAGCCATGGGTAGTTTCCTTGGGCAGAAGTTGAACAATTATGATTTAATGCTCAATATTCTTCTCTCTGGAGAAGAATCTGCTAAATCCTCGGCCGTGTTTCTCGCCCGACGAAGATGATGATCTCTGACTCTTACTACTCTGTTGCTTCATGCTGATGGGTGACTTGGCAAAGGGGCTTGGTTCTGAGTCGGATTGGCTCATGTGGGAGTTGGAGTTGTATAAATTTAATGGAGATTCTCCGCCGGTCTGCAATGTCTGCTCGCCTTGATCTGAAATCCGCGGACCAGAGATGGCTTGATCTTTTTCATCGTTCATGGCATCACCAAGCCGAGGTCTGCGGTTTGGAGAAGAGTCTGTTGGTTCTGATGGATTTCGCATTGACTGCAGTTGTTTGCTGAGAAGAAAAATGGTGTCCTGACATTCAGCTAGCTTCTCTGCAGCTGCAGCTATATCTATTTCCTGACATATGAAGAAGTGATATATGGATGAGGAAAGTGACATTTTTAATATAATTTTGAATTTACATATATACTACCTAATTCCTATGTATTTACATATCAAACGCCTTAACTTAAGTTTTTACGGTTAAAGCACCCAAATATTTCATATCATATAAAAGAGACCACCTTTTTGACATTTAAAAAATGTATACATTTTTTTCATGCATAGGTCAGGTGGTATGTATGTAAAAATTGAAGTTTTAGTGTTAGATATATAAATACATTGGAATTAAGAGATATGTAAGCAAATCTTCCTATCGTTTAATATAGGTTTGGAGAATTAAGCAAAATAATTTTATTGATATCAAAAGGGGAATATATATTCAGGATACAAGAGTTACAAAATAGGAAAGACATAACACCCAAATCTCTACGATTAAATTAATTTCTAATAACTACCTAGAGACAAAGGAAAGCCATAAATTAAGAAATACATAAACAAAGATATCCATAAACTAGGAAATATCAGTAAATGAAAGAAATAAACACTAATAACTTCTAACACTCCTTCTCAAGTTGAAGCATAGATGTCAATCATGTTCAATTTAATTTTAAACACGTTAAACAACGGCTAAGAAAATTCTTTGTAAGAATTTCTGCTAATTGTCCAGTAGATGGGACAAACGAAACGTTAATGTCTCCGGAATCAAGTTTCTCCTTGATAAAGTTACAGTTAATCTCCACATGTTTGGTACGATCATGTTGAATTGGATTATGAGCAATGTTAATGGCGATTCTATTGCCACAAAACAGCTGCAGAGAAACCAAGATCGACATAAGTAACTCGCAGAGCATAATGCACAACCAAACGCTTTCACATACCCCAAGGGACATAAAATGAAACTCAGTTTCAACACTGCTACGGGTAACCAAAAGCTGTTTTTTACTTTTCTAAGTGACAAGGTTGCCCCCACATGAAGGAACAATAATACGAGGAAGATCGTTAATCATGGATGGAACCTGCACAATCAGCCTTCGTAAAAACTGCAAGAGAACAAGAAGTGTGACGAGAGAATAACAAACTTGAGCCCGGTATGACTTTTAAGTTGTGGAGGACTCGATGGACGACGGTGAGATGCTGCTCGTAAGGGTCATGCATGAACTGACTTATAATACAAATGACATGACAAATGTTCAGGAGCATATGGACGAGGTAAATGAGTTTACCCACTAAGCGTTGATAGTGTCTTGTTCACCGCAATGACATTGGGAACTTCCACAAATTTCTCATTAAGATCCATCGGAACACCAACCAGTTTGCAAAAAAATAGATTATTTTAAGTCAGTAAATCGAACGAAATGTTGATGCCCTTAAGAGAACCGAGCTACTTCCATGCCTAAAAAATACCAGAGAGATTCCAATTCTTTCATCTCAAAAGAAGAGGTCAAGATGTCTTTGAGAGATTCCAAGTTGGCAGATCCTTACCTAAGAGCACAATGTCGTCGACATAGATGATGAGAACGGAAATACGATCATTGGATGAATGGCAAAAAAATAATTTGTGATCAAATTGAACCTGAGAGAAACCATGACCCACTACAACTGACATGAATTTGTCGAATCAGACTCGTGGGGATTGTTTCCATCCATAAATAGACTTACGCAATCGACACACTTACCACGGGAATGAGTAGAGTCAAAGACCAGTGGGAGAAACATAAACACCTCCTCAGTGAGATCTTCCTTGAGGAAAGCCTTCTTGACGTCCAACTGAAATAAAGATCTATTCACACTCAACTCCATAAGTTTGTGAATATCGTTTGGCGACCAACCTCGCCTTGCTGTTGAAAACCCACCTACAACACACCCCTTTCTTTCTCTGGAAAAGAACAACCACGTGCCAAGTATGGTTTCGCCGAAGGGCATTCATCTCGTCCGTGACGGAAGACTTCCAGGATGGGTCAGCTAACATTGCCTCAATAGTGGATGGGAGACAACAATCCGTCAAGGATGTGGCATATGCTTTGTAGGTCGGAGATGGGCTATGGAACAAGATGTATTTCACCATGGGATAAAGAGTGCCTGATTGTATCTATTTGCGTCCCTCAATAGGGAAATTCACATCTTCACTCAGATCAGAAGTGATCCTCGTAAGTTGAGAGCGCATCGCTCCCGGAACGTCGGCCGAAGAAGACTCCAAAATCTGCGGCGAGGCAGTGGGCTCCATGGTAGGGGTATTGGGACGAGTTTCAATAGAGGGTTTTATGCGACAAGTATAGACACACAGAGAGGATGGTGCTGAAACAAGTCTGGTTGGTGGCGAATCTAGTGGAGCTGAGGGTTCCTCGGACACAGTGGTTGTAGGAGTATGTAAAGTGTCTAATGAAGTCAGAAAATGAAAAGTGTTAAGAAAATCAAGCTCTCCCTTACTTGAGGGTGCGTTAGGGAAAAATATTTTTAAAAAAAGAGACATCCACATTCACATAGATTTTATTTGTGATAGGATCAAGACACCCATAGTTTTTTTTGAGTGGCGAAATAACTGAGAAAGACATTTAATTGAGTAGAGATCAAGTTTACTAGGAGTCGGGTTAGTAATCCGAGAAGGTTGTACAGCCAAATATTTTGGGTTCTAATCTAAAGAAGAACCGATTGGAAGGAAAACACAACATCAAGATGGATAATGGGGTCCGAAAGCTGTCATTTTTGTGGGAACTCTATTAATGAAATAGGCGGGGGTAAGGATGGTGTCTTTCAAAAACCATTAAGGGACATTAGTTTGTAACATAATGAAACAAACAACTTCGAGAAGGTGTCTATTTTCTGCTCAACTGCCTCATCTTTTTTAGGGATATTCGTAAAGGAGCTATGATGAAGGATGTCCTTACTAACTAAGAATTTCCCCAATACAGAGTTAAAATACTCACGGTCATTGTCGGTCATAAGGTCTTGAATAGTAATTTTGAATTAGATCAAAATGAGGAGTGAAAATTTTAAAAAATAACTGCAGCTTCAAATTTGTCTTTTTAATATACAAACTCAAGTCATCTTAGTGTGGTCAATAATTAAAGTAAATAACTATTATTTATTGGTATAACTCAAAGTTTGAAAGGGTTTCTATAAGTCACTATGAATTGGTGAAAAGGGAAAGAAATGAGTGTATGGGTGTGTTGGATAAGATACCCATTGATGTTTATCTAATTGGCAAATTTCATATTCATACGAACATGAATTTTTATCAAAGAGTACAACTGTTTTAAAAAGTGAAAATTGGGACGACTCAAACGACAATGTAAAATCATAATTGAACATATAGTGAAAAGGGAAAAACTATAACTACAAGATTGAGTGTTGCGTCATCAATGCCATTTTCTAGGAAAAATAAGAGTCTGACTACACGCTGAGTTGTTCCAATCATTCTCCCAGAGCAACGATCCTGAATGATAACATTAGAAGAAATGAGCAATGCAATCAAGGTCATACATTAATTTACTGACCGGCAAGAAGTTACACTTAAACGAAGGAACGTGTAACATGGATCCCAGCGTCGGACCAACTGTTAGTTAATAGATCCCTTACCCACAATGGAAATTAATCTCTACTTCTTTAGCCCGCTCCACTAACAATGCATAGTCATCAATACCCAAAGGTACCAACTACCTGATTGAATCCTTTAATCCTGAAAAAAATCCGCAGCACTTCTCTACCGTTGTAGATATCAGTTGTGGGGCATACCTTGTAGTGCAGTGAACTCTACTTCATACTGCGTGATTGTTTTTCTCTCTGCACCAACTAGATGAACCAGTAATACATATATCTTCAAGCGGGTAGTGACACAAACCACTCCCTAGAAAGCTCCATGAACTTCTCCCAACTTATCATCATGTTGGGTATATCCCCTAATATACTGTGATATTGCTCACGCCACTACCTTTCGGCTTCTCCATCCAGCATAAATGTAGCTAAAAGTATTCTTCTTTTGTCGGGGCACACCATGTTAATCTAATATCTTCTCTAACCTCATTAGTTAGTTCTCTGCTTCAATCGGATCTTCAGTTCCCTTAAATAAAAGTGAACACAGATCTGGAAATATATTCAAATACTTATCCACAACAATAATCTCATCTCCACTAGACTACAGTTTAAACTCCTGAATCAGCGAAGCCATGGCCTCGAGTCAGAACATTCGTGTCAACAAAAACAACAAGAAGTGCTTCTTCATTTTCTACCACATTTAACTCTTCCTAAAACTCGAATGCTATCAATTTTCCTGAATTAGAATAATTATTTAATTATCGTTAATTTAAATTTTTAATTTTATTATTATTAATTACTTTGTAATTATCCTATTGGCTCTTTAATCAATATTACATTAATTATTCATAAACCTCGCTCTAACACAACTTTTATTACGACCCAGATTGTAGCTTGGAATTAACCAAGACGAGAATAAACGATCGAACAGTAGAATATTAAGTTTCTATAACTATTTTTTTATAATGAAAAAACCACTTAAAAATGAATTTAAAACAAAACAGTTAAATTTTTATCTCATTTCTCGACGTCATAGTCATTATAAATATTTTCTTATCTATCGATAATCATTTAATTTAACTATTAATTATTGTTGTGTTACATTATTTTAACTAAGATTATAAATACTTAAAACTTAAGTTCAATCATTACATTAATATTAATAATAAATATTATTAATTTATACAAAATTACTGCTGGAAATAAAACCTAACATTTCTTGTTGTCACAACCTTTCCTTGATCCAAAATTGAAACTTTTATAGCATGAAACCAATGCACTTAAATTTTGCATTTAATTATTAAACATATATAAGATTTTTAATTAAATAACTTAATTAAAGTATTTAAAACTCACCTTAGCTTCGGCCCACAGGATCTTCCTCCTCCCTTGCGAGAAAATATTCTCTCAGTACTACGCACCTTAAGCTACGTGCGTAACCAATCAAATGTCGTCAGGTGTAAACTCCGGCCCCACCCATTAAA